TTTTTCAGAGAATTGCCTTTTTGATCAGAAAACCATTTTGTTTATACATTTTCATTAGTAAAAGTGTTAAACTGAAAGTTGGCTACTAATCTGATAACGTGCTTGCAGCTGTTCAGCAGAAAAGTGCACGTGATCTTAATACAACACGATTGGTTCCTTTTATGGCTGTAGAGCACGTAAACAGGCTTCTTATATTTCTTTTAAATTAACATTCTTGCTAAAACCTTTTAAAGGTGAATGGCTGTAATGACCAGATTATAAAGAAAATTTAAAAAAAATACTTCAGACTGTTTTTTACACACATAGGTGACACACAGTTGATGTGGTTTACCAGCAGGAAAGTCAGCAGCCAACCACAGACTTCACAAAACAAGAAAGAGATGAAAAGAAGCTCTGAATGTCATTTCCTTTACGTGTCTGAGGCACGCAGACAAAGAGGCAGGCTGTAGAGTAAATAAACTGTATAAAACATTTAAATAGAATTTAAATCATCAAATCTTTGTGTTTCTACAACTGCAAAAATAAGATCCAACACTGACAGGAAGTGTGAAAATCCTGTTTTGCCTTTTAGATTCGCTTTGCTGTAACAAAGTGTTTCCTTACGTTTGCTTTGCGCGACCATCTGATTGAGAGAAATTAACCAGCAGTCTTAAAGCAGCTCTATCGGATGAACTGAAGGTTTTATGGAGTTTTTAGGATATCCCGATAATAATAAATGATTGCATTCTAGAAATAATAGATGCATGAACTAGTCTATTAGCATCACTCTGAGACAGGATGTTTCTGATATGGGAGATGATGAGATAATGTGCAAATGCAGCAGAGAAGATACACGACTTATCAGGACATCTCTGAAAGTGGTTAAAAACATAGATAATGCTGCACATTCGGTTTACAGATGGTTATAAAATGATTGATGGGAACTAATTCACACAAAAATCTCCCCAAGTTTGCAAATTTAACATATGAAAAACTGTAATCACTTTTCTAACATTTAATGGATACAGACTGTTTGTGTGTCATGCTCGTTATTCTTGTTTTGATTCACTGTACGTGGCACCGTGTCTTTTGAACTAGAAGCTGATCTCCAGCTTGCATGTGAGTGCATGTGCAATACATTTAGGCTTTCAGGAGCTAATGAGCCTTCTATTTGCCTTTAGAGATGGCAAAGCCCTCATTTTGTTAGCACAGTCCCACAGCTGTGTGACAAAGTACCTATTAAAGCTTTTAACTTTGATCTACGGACAGAAACATTACTCTTTTGTTTGGTCAGTTAGTCCACTCCTGCTGTACAGCATGGATCGCAGTGAAACTAAACACAGTCAGACTTTTGTCCTCATGATAAAACTACAGAATTTGGTACCTTTTCTCTACTGCCAACAGCTTTAAATACAATAAGAAGGAGGAACGGGGAGCTTTAATGCAAATGCATCACTACCAAAAAGTAAAAATATAATTTTTTTCTGTAATACTGAAAATTACACAAGTATCACAATAATGTAGTAAAAATAATGACAGTAATCACATTACAGCCACAAGTCAAACTTTTTTTTGTTGCCTGCAATGAGCTCTTTAATTATCCTCAAGACAGAATCGCTGTTACAATCAGCTGCTTTCCATTTGCGTGTAGCGAGGCAGAAAATGAGCGAGCAGCCTTCAGTTTACGAGGAGTGGAAATGTGAACATTACTTTTATTTTTTCATTGCAGCAATAAAAAAAAAATAAAAAAAACAAAGCAGCCAGAAAACTGCTGCTTTGAACGAGACAGTAGCTGTTGGCAATCCCCTGCAAAGAAAGCATGCTAACAGAAAGCTAACAGGTAAGAACCAGAGCTATGCTAAAGGTGAGTATGCTGACCACATGCATTCATCGGGTAACTAAAGCAGCGATTAACTGTCAGGCTTTGAGCTTGTGCTCATACTTATTTCAGCAGAGGACTCACTGAATGAAGCTCCCCTAGTGCTGGCTGTCAGCTTCACTGTTGGCTTTGTGTTCATTTGTGGTCATACTTACACACACACACACACACACACACACAAATATGCTTGTGCATTCATTATGACAGGGATTTATTCCAGTTTGTGGGACTGTAGCCTTGAGGTATCTTGTTACCTTATTCGCTTTCACGGGTGCTACAGAAGTAACTGATAGACCAACAACACGTTCTCACTCCCAAAGCGTAACATTTTAGGCTAGGTGACAAATCGTCAACATATTACGTTTTCGGCTACCCACCACGTTCCTAAATGACGACCTCGGAAAAATGAGGAAATATGAGAACCGTATGGACTCAATCTACACATGTTCGCTCTTTTTCTTCAAATCGCTTAGAAACACGCTATTTAACATCATTAAAGTCCTGGTTAAGATCAGGAAAAAGGTTATGGTTAGGGCTAGGGATAAGGTTAGGTTTAGGGCTGGAATACAGGGCTGGAACATCTATTACCGCGGGAGCGTCATTGCACTGGATTTTGGCCATAACCCGCCGCGTACCATAAGAACGCCGAAGGTCTCCTTTTGCGTTCCTCAGGAACGCCGCGGGAAGTGACAAAACGTCGCCATGTTACGCCTCGGGAGTGAGAACGGGCTGAGATCAAATGTGTAGAATCAATTCATTTCAAATACATGTTAATTACAAGGAAGTGAAATTGTATGCCATCTTTCATTTGATGATCACACAACAATGTGATCATCAATATGATCATGTATGTGAATGCATACAATAATGCATTTACAGTACTGAATTATTTTGACATTATCACAGAAACAGACAACAGATTTTTTGAGCAGCTTATATCTTTAACAAAAAGAGGGGAACTCTCTGTGTCTCTGTGTTTAAATTTAACATATGGGGAACCTGAATGTGTGGTTTGTAGAGGTCACAATTACACATAT